GGGTGTCTATGGGAATGTCTGACCATTCTTCCAGAAGCGCATTGTGAGGTCAGGCACTGATGTTGGACAAGAAGGCCTGGCTTGCAGTCTCCGCTCTCATTCATCCCAAAGTTGTTCTATGGGGTTGAGGTCAGGACTCTGTGCAGGCCAGTCAAGTTCCTCCACCACAAACTCACTCATCCATGTCTTTATGGACCTTGCCTTGTGGACTGGTGCGCAGTCATGTTGGAACAGGAAGGGGCCATCCCCAAACTCTTCCCACAAAGTTGGGAGCATGAAATTGCCCCAAATGTCTTGGTATGCTGATGCCTTAAGAGTTCCCTTCACTGGAACTAAGGGGCCCAAGCCCAGCCACTGAAAAACAACCCCATAGCATAATCCCCCCTCCACCAAACTTAACATGTGGCACAATGCAGTCAGGCAAGTGCCAGTCTTCTGGCAACCGCAAACCCAAGGTGGTGGGTCAGTGATGGTCTGGGGAGGCATATCCATGGACAGACGCACAGACCTCTAAAGGCTAGACAACGGCACCCTGACTGCCATTAGGTATCGGGATGAAATCCTTGGACCCATTGTCAAACACTACTCTGGTGCAGTGGGTCTTGGGTTCCTCCTGGTGCACAACAATGCCTGGGCTCATGTGGTGAAAGTATGCAGGCAATTCCTGGAGGATGAAGGAATTAATTCCAATGAATGGTCCCCACGCTCGCCTGACCTAAATCCAATAGAACACCTCTACGATATTATGTTGCGGTCCACCCAACACCACCAAGTTGCACCTCAGACTGTCCAGGAGCTCAGTGATATCCTGGTCCAGATCTGGGAGGAAATACCCCAGTACACCATCCATCGTCTCATTAGGAGCCTCCCCCGACGTTGTCAGGCATGCATACAAGCACGTAAGGGCCATACAAACTACTGAGTACCATTTTGAGTTTCTGCAATGATATTTCAGCAAAATGGACTCGCCTGCTGCATAATATTTTCTTTGAATTCAATCCTCTGTAAGTTGATAATTTTCATTTCCATCCTTATGTTTCTGACACATTACTCAGTCCATAGCAGTATAGATATCCAGCAGGAGATTTTTCCCCATTGAGAGCTAATGTGCTTTCAAAGTGTTCCTTTAATTTTTTTGGAGCAGTGTATATAATATATATATATACTGTATATATATATATATATATATATATATATATATAAACAAAATTACATACAATACAATAAATAAAAAATATAAAAAACTCTTAATTTAGATTGAAAGGTAAATATATTGCAGGTAGGTAAAGCTTGCTCTTGTCTTGTAAATATCTGTAGTAAAATTAAATAAATAATATATTATAATATAATGTAATATAATAAAATATATATAATATAATAATAAAATGCAGTAAATAAAGAGAACAGAAATGAATGAATAAATAAATAAAATAGTATAAAATATAAAATACTCTTGCTTCAGACTGAATAGTAAATATATGGTACACACAAGATTGCTCTCGTCTATTTTTATTTCAGTAATCACATCCTTGAATAGATTATGAATCATTCAGGGTGAGTACACAAGGTTAGGTGGAGGAGGGATAGACAATATTGTGACTGCAGTCTGCATGGAGATAGAGGAATTCAGCCTAGACAATTCCCTATCATTCAGATATATATATATCTGTCCATTATCACAGCTCCTTCCCAAATCACTGATAAGTCAGCACAAGAATGCATCCAAACTGAAGAGGAATGTAAATATGAGTAGAATGTATCTGGAAATAATAGAATATCATTATATCACATAACAGAAGGTACTCTTGATTAAAGTGACCCTGGAAGGGCAAGAAAAAATTCGATAAAGGCATCTTTCAAAAGAAGAGTTATTATACTCACCTCTTGGGTGGCCTGTGTCTCCTAGTGCTGTGGCCTTCATCAGTCTCCTCCTGAAGTGTTGGATGTTGGTGTCCCTCACTGTGCACTGTGGTTCCTTCCTAGGCCCCCTGCATTATTGCAAGACTCAGCACTGCCATAGGGAACAGAGGAAGGAACCATGGCATGTGGTGGGGGGGGACAGTCATCCTATACTCCCTTGAAAGGCTGAAGAGACTGATGGAGGCTGTAGTGATGGAACGGAACATAGGCCACCAGAGAAGTGAGTATAAGAGATCCTGTAAAAGGCCGTGGCCGCTTTAAAGCTCCAATTAGATTAAAAAAGCGAATTAATAATGAAGTTATGCTTTCATGAAAATAGTTACTTTTTTTTTCTTTTGGCAACTAGTGTAAACACCTGATTTTTTTCTTAATATTAGCCTCTTGTACTTCTCTGCACAGTAGGACTGGGAGTAGGAAGAGCCAACTGTAGCAGCCAATCATGCTCCTCTACATTCCACATGTTCTGACTGTGAACATGTTAACAGGTAAAGAGAGCAGAGTGATGTCTCATCAGTGTGATGTGCCTTCTTTGTCCAATCAGCAGGCTAGGGGTGTGTCCTGACCAAACGCATGCTGCAGCCGCAGGTCCTTACCAACATGTGGACAAGGTTCTTTGCTAGTGGGCTCCCTCCTGCAAAGAATCCTCTCCATGATGAGGGCATGTGGCCAGTGTTGGTTTGAGGAAGTGGGGCATGCTTGTCTCCCCTCTTTCCTGGATTTTGTAGGGGACCCCATGCTTTTTCTTTTTCGTTGTTTAAAAGGGACCGCCTCTTGAAATCTATACTGGACCTGTAGGCATTGGTGTGATCTTTTTTTGGTGGAGGCACCCTAGTATTTTTTTTTTTTTCGTTACCATTCCAACCAATTTAATTTGGCTCTTCGCTGAGCCCCCGAACAAGCAAAATCCGTCCTGACATGGGTTTAAACTGAGCTCGGAGTTGTGATGTACAGGTCTTTGCATTCCTCACTTTATTACAAACAGTTCTTTGTAGAGAGCTCGTAAAGAAGAACACAAGCAACACAGTGCCCTGCGTACTCCCCAGATGACAGTGTACTGTGAATGAGCATCGGCAGAGTTATTCAAGCCAGAATGCAATTAATAGGCAGAAGTGGCATTCAATGCAACAACCTCCATAGGGTGTGTGAAGCGGCTCCATTACACAGTGACATCATACAGAGGTGTTAATTCCCACATGGTTAAAGTCAGATAGTCATACACGGCTCACAAAAATGAAAGGAACACTTTGAAAAACACATCAGATCTCAATGGGGACAAATCTCCTGCTGGATATCTATACTGACATGGACGGGGTAATGTGTTAGGAACGTAAGGATGCCACATTGTTTGATGGAAATGAAAATTATCAGCCTGCAGAGGACTGAATTCAAAGACACCCCAAAAATCAAAGTGAAAAAATGATGCAGCAGGCGAGTCCATTTTGCTGAAATGTCATTGCAGCAACTCAGAATGTTCCTCAGTAGTTTGTATGGCTCCCACGTGCTTGTATGCATGCCTGACAACGTCGGGGCATGCCCCTAATGAGACAACAGATGGTGTCCTGGGGGATTTCCTCCCAGATCTGGACCAGGGCATCACTGAGCTCCTGGACAGTCTGAGGAGCAACCTGGTGGCGTTGGATGGACCGCAACCTGATATCTCAGAGGTGTTTTATTGGATTTAGGTCAGGCAAGCGTGTGGGCCATTCGATGGTATCAATTCCTTCATCCTCCAGGAACTGCCTGCATACTCTCCCCACATGAGGCCGGGCATTGTAGTGCACCAGGAGGAACCCAAGACCCACTGCACCAGCGTAGGGTCTGACAATGGGTCCAAGGATTTCATTTCGATACCTAATGGCAGTCAGTGTGCCACTGTCTAGCCTGAAGATGTCTGTGCGTCCCTCCATGGATATGCCTCCCCAGACCATCACTAACCCACCACCAAAACAGTCATGCTGAACAATGTTACAGGCAGCATAATGTTCTCCACGGCTTCTCCAGACCCTTTCACGTCTGTCACATGTGCTCAGGGTGAACCTGCTCTCATCTGTGAAAAGCACAGGGTGTCAGTGATGGACCTGCCAACTCTGGTGTTCAATGGCAAATGCCTGTCTAGCTCTATGGTCCTTGGCAGTGAACACAGGGCCCACTAGAGGACATCGGGCCCTCAGGCCACCCTCATGAAGTCTGTTTCTGATTGTTTTGGCAGAGACATTCACACCAGTGGCCTGCTGGAGGTCATTTTGTAGGGCTCTGGCAGTGCTCATCCTGTTTCCTCCTTGCAAAAAGGAGTAGATACCGGTCCTGCTGATGGGTTAAGGACCTTCTACAGCCCTGTCTAGCTCTCCTAGAGTAACTGCCTGTCTCCTGGAATCTGCTCCATGCTCTTGAGATTGTGCTGGGAGACACAGCAAACCTTCTGGCAATGGCACATATTGATGTGCCATCCTGGAGGAGTTGGACTGTCTGTGCAACCTCTGTAGGGTCCAGGTATGGCCTTATGCTATCAGTATTGACACTGACCCTAGTCAAATGAAAAACTAGTGAAAAACAGTCAGAAAGATGAGTAGGGAAAAAAATGTCAGTGGCCTCCACCTGTAAAACCATTCCTGTTTTGGGGGTCGTCTCATTGTTGCCCATCTAGTGCACCTGTTGTTAATTTAATTAACACCAAAGCAGCTGAAACTGATTAACAACCCCCTCTGCTATTTACTTGACCAGATCAATATCCCAGGAGTTTCATTGACTTGACTCTATACTCTGATTAAAAAGTGTTCCATTCATTTTTGAGTAGTATATGTGAAGCAACATTACAGTGTTGTAGGGCAAAATGAAATTAAAAATGACTTTTGTTTATAAAATTCCTTCTACCATTGTCAAATAATCATCACTGGAAAATCAGACAGTTTGCTATTTTGTATATAAAATGAGCCAGTTGCATTAGAAACTAATGGTATGAATGGGGACCAGCTTGAAAATGATTGCTGCCTGACAACACACAGCCTCTCAATTAGCAGCAGTGTTGTCAGCCTGCAATATAAGCTTCTTCAGTTGACTGTTGGACTGCCTATCAGGTCCAGGGGTGGACTGACCATTTGGAAACTCGGGCACTGCCCGAGGGCCCGGGGTCAGTAGAGGGCCCCATGATATGCCCCTGGTACCTTTTTCATAGGCTTTTTTGAGTTTGGGCAAGGACACAGGGGCCCCATGATCCCCTATTGCCCGGGGGGCCCCATGAGTTGTCAGTCCGCCCCTGATCAGGTCTGTCAGATAGGAAGACCAATGGCCAAATGAAGAACGTATTAGGCTGACAACACTGCTGTAAATTGAGGGGCAGCCGCTTAGTGATGTCAGCTTGCAAACAGAAATGCTGTTACTGGCAGGATCTCCAGGTAAATAAACTTTACAAAAGATTCACAAACTAACAATTTGCTAAATAAAACTTTATGGCTTGATATGATGCCAAATATACTGAAACAGATTTAGGATTTACATACACTTTAATAACACTCCAAATTGCAACCTGCGTTGTAGATGTGGCCCTTCAGGCACAGACCCAATAATGGGACATCATTTTTCCACTGACACCAATGAGCCAACAGCATTCCTCCCACAGACACCAATGATGGGGCACTATTCCTCCCACTGACACCAATGATGGGACACTATTCCTCCCACTGACACCAATGATGGGGCACTATTCCTCCCACTGACACCAATGATGGGACACTATTCCTCCCACTGACACCAATGATGGGGCACTATTCCTCCCACTGATACCAATGATGGGGCACTATTCCTCCCACTGATACCAATGATGGGGCACTATTCCTCCCACTGATACCAATGATGGGGCACTATTCCTCCCACTGATACCAATGATGGGGCACTATTCCTCCCACTGACACCAATGATGGGGCACTATTTCTCCCACTGACACCAATGATGGAGCACTATTCCTCCCACTGACACCAATGATGGGGCACTATTCCTCCCACTGACACCAATGATGGGGCACTATTCCTCCCACTGACACCAATGATGGGGCACTATTCCTCCCACTAATACCAATGATGGGGCTCCATTCGTCCCACAGACATTAATGATAGGACACCATTCCTCACACTGACATCAATGATAGGGCACTATTCCTCCCACTGACACCAATGAGCCGACACCATTCCTCCCACAGACACCAATGATGGGGCACTATTCCTCCCACAGACACCAATGATGGGGCACTATTCCTCCCACTGACACCAATGATGGGACACCATTCCTCACACTGACATCAATGATGGGGTACTATTCCTCCCACTGACACCAATGAGCCGACACCATTCCTCCCACAGACCCCAATGATGGGGCACTATTCCTCCCACAGACACCAATGATGGGGCACTATTTCTCCCACTGACACCAATGATGGAGCACTATTCCTCCCACTGACACCAATGATGGGGCACTATTCCTCCCACTAATACCAATGATGGGGCTCCATTCTTCCCACAGACACCAATGATAGGACACCATTCCTCACACTGACATCAATGATGGGGTACTATTCCTCCCACTGACACCAATGAGCCGACACCATTCCTCCCACAGACCCCAATGATTGGGCACTATTCCTCCCACAGACACCAATGATGGGGCACTATTCCTCCTACTGACACCAATGATGGGGAACTATTCTTCCCACTGACACCAATGATGGGGCACTATTCCTCCCACTGACCCCAATGATGGGGCACTATTCCTCCCACTGACACCAATGATGGGGCACTATTCCTCCCACTGATACCAATGATGGGACTACATTCTTCCCACAGACACCAATGATAGGGCACCATTCCTCACACTGACACCAATGATGGGGTACTATTCCTCCCACAGACACCAATAATGGGGCACCATTCCTTCCACTGACACCAATGATGGGGTATTATTCCTCCCACTGACACCAATGATGGGGCACTATTCCTCCCACTGACACTAATGATGGAGCTCCATTCTTCCCACAGACACCAATGATAGGGTACCTTTCTTTACACTGACACCAATGATGTGGCATCACTCCTTCCACAAACACCAGTGATGGGGCACCATTCCTCCCACTAAGACCAATAATAGGGCACTATTCCTCCCACTGACATCAATGATGGGGTACTTTTCTTCCCACAGACACCAATGACGGGGTTCCATTTCTTCCACAAACACTAGTGATAAGGCACCATTCCTCACACTGACACCAATGGTGGGGTACTATTTCTCACATTGACACTAATATTAGGGCACTATTCCTCTCATTGACATCAACTAAGGGGCTACATACCTTCTACAAACACCAATGGTGGGGCAACATTCTTCCCACTGTCATCAATGATGGGGCACTACTCCTCCCAGTGACACCAATGATGGGGCACAATTCCTTCTACAGACACCAATGATGGGACACTATTCCTCCCACTGATAGCAATGATGGGGCACTATTCCTCCCACTGATACCAATGATGAGGCACTATTCCTCCCACTGACACCAATGATGGGGCACTATTCCTCCCACTGATACCAATGATGGGGCACTATTCCTCCCACTGATACCAATGATGGGGCACTATTCCTCCCACTGATACCAATGATGGGGCACTATTCCTCCCACTGACACCAATGATGGGGCACTATTCCTCCCACTGATACCAATGATGGGAACTATTCTTCCCGCTGATACCAATGATGGGGCACTATTCCTCCCACTGATACCAATGATGGGGCACTATTCCTGCCACTGATACCAATGATGGGGCACTATTCCTGCCACTGACACCAATGATGGGGCACTATTCCTCCCACTGATAGCAATGATGGGGCACTATTCCTCCCACTGATACCAATGATGGGGCACTATTCCTCCCACTGATACCAATGATGGGGCACTATGCCCCCCACTAATACCAATGATGGGGCACTATTCCTCCCACTGATACCAATGATGGGGCACTATTCCTCCCACTGATACCAATGATGGGGCACTATTCCCCCCACTAATACCAATGATGGGGCACTATTCTTCCCACTGATACCAATGATGGGGCACTATTCCTCCCACTGATACCAATGATGGGGCACTATTCCTCCCACTGATACCAATGATGGGGCACTATTCCCCCCACTAATACCAATGATGGGGCACTATTCCTCCCACTGACACCAATGATGGGCACTATTCCTCCCACTGATACCAATGATGGGGCACTATTCCCCCCACTAATACCAATGATGGGGCACTATTCCTCCCACTGATACCAATGATGGGGCACTATTCCTCCTACTGATACCAATGATGGGGCACTATTCACCATTCCTCCCTTTGAATACCAACGGGACACCATCATTCTCATTAAAACCAACGTTGGGGCATTTCTATCCACACTGGCCACAGTCTGCACCCTCCAAAGCCTGAAGACAGTAAACGGGCCCTTTATTTAGAAAGTTTGGAGACTTCTCATCTAAAAAAAACTGAAGAAAAGACTATAGTTTCCTTTTAAAAAAAAAACCTTTCCTGGTAGTAGATACATAACATGTCATTACTGATCATCTCTTCTGAGAATGCTAATTGCCTGAATGCCAGCCTGATCCAGTAGCTTCAGTGCTTTCTAACCCAGAGCAAGAATGGGGATCAAGAGTTATGACTTTACTGGCTGCATGTCAGTGACACAGAAAATACAAAATCTAGAGGGATGGCATAACAGCCAGGCAGCTGGCATTTCCTAAATCACTACATCTCTCTCTCATGACAGTCTTTTTTTAACCTCCCTGGAGGTATTCCCGAGTTTAGCTCGGGGTAAAGTTTCAGCACCTCAAGCGGTAACCCCCCCGAGCTACACTCGGGAATACACTGCAGTGTTGCTCCGGGATCTCTTCTGCACCTACCTTGTCCTGCGCTCCCGCGATGTCCCCCCTGCAGCGTCCCCAGCAATGTCCTCCGGCAGATGTCGGCATCCATCTTCTGGGTTCCGTTCCCTGCGACGTCGGGACGTACTGGACATACGGAGGACGGAACTGGCGGGAAATTTAAAAATTTCTAAAAGTGACATTCACTATATACACTAAAATCACATAGTATAACATTCCTGTATCAAACCATTTCACATACATTTTGTCCCGAGTACTTTGTCCGGCGCCCTGCCTGCATTTTTACTGTTCTTTCTGCCTGGAAACTGAGAAACGTCCATGGCGTCCAAAAAGCGTCCCTTTAGGTCAAAAGTGGTTTTAGACCGGCTAGAGAACAGCGATAGTAAATCAGAACCACTTGCAGAATTGAGTGATAATGATTCGTGGGGAAATTCATCATCAGACACTGAAAACGATTTTGCGACTTTGCTCAGCGATGTGAGAACTTGGCGCTATATTTCACATTTCAGTGTTTTTGGTTTGATTATATTATTGAATTAAATTTATTATTATTATATTATTATTTTTTTATGATTATTTTTTTAAATTATAATTTATGATTTCATGTTTCAAATTTTATCATACCCGGGATGTTTACTAGACTCTTGTTCGGACAGATTTCAGTGAGTTATTCCTAAGAATTACAGGCCTACAATAAAAAAAACAACATATTTCCATGCAAAAAAATGTACCGCTTTGAGCACAGAAATACTGACATAATCAGATCGCTAGGGAGGCTACAGAGAATTCTGTCTTATGTCATTTTGGTTTTAATCAACAAGAAAGTGTTGGAACTATCAGTGTATTCACTTAAGCTGTAATCATATACTGGGGCGAATACCACACCGGGGGGCACACTTGCCATAGACCTCAAGCTATCCACTCTGTCCTATGGCATGAACCTTGCCAATGTTATAAAACAGACTGACACACTAAAACTATTGCATTGCCTGCGTGTGAAAGATAACACCATGTTTGGGGGGGGTTGCTTTTAGAATGAAGGCAGAAGTGACACTAAACTGCTTGAGTTGCCTGTCCACTGACATGCAGGAGGAATTTACACTGGTAGCAGGCACGATAAGAAAATCGTATGAAAAATTTTGTGGAACCACCGATCGAACGATTTTCTCTTCGTTGATGAGCAGGATGTTTTAACCGATAATGATATTGTGTATTAAAAAATCTCGCTGAACAACAGTAAAAAATATTGTCATTTCGCATACGAACGACCGATTTTCTATGCGGTGGTATGACGTCGTACGAAAAAAATCTATCAAGCGCTAT